AATCAGGATAAAGTACTTCCTGTTTACTACAAATACGCCCGTGATTACTGCAGTACAACGAGTACTGAGGGAGACCGACTCAGACCGGGTCTGGTCCTGGTCCTGGTCCTGGTCTAGACCTGGTTTAATCCTGGTACATTAATCCTGACTATGTGGTTTAGTCCTGGTTTAGTCCTGGTTTGTTCAAGATGAACTAAAGTCACATTTTCTGTGTGTTTTTGTTTGGTCAAAAACAGAGACACTGGGACATTTCTTGTATAAAACTGTGGGACAAATCAGTGTTTTTGTATAAATCTGCAGGGACACAGGTTCAAAACTGAGACTCTCCTGGGGAAACGGCAACAACTAGAGAGTTAATATTTCAGAGTAAAATATTTCAGAGTTGTTTTGAACACATAAAGTGTTATTTTAACTCTTTGAGAGTTAAATGTGTTGGAGTTGGGTTTATTTGTCAGAGTTGATCAGGGTGAACTTCCCTTAGTGTTAACTCCCTCCAGAGAAGAACCAGTTTGAACCAGTTTAGTTCTGAATTTCATCTTAAATTAACTCAAATAAAGTGTCTAAATAAAACTCCTCTGTGTGTTGTTGAGTTAAATGAGGATAACTCTACAAAGTGTTATCTGTTTACTCTCTAAACCTTCATTTAACTCTGGATTTGGGTTAAACAGGAACTTTGGTCCAGTTTTACTTCATGAACTTTTACACAAATGTTAAATTAACTCTAGAACAGAGTGACTCAGAGAAACTCTGAGAACATGTTCAAACTGACTCTGTCAGAGTCAAATTTAACTCTTTTTAATGTCTGGTCACTAATCCGGACCGAACCAGGATTGAACCAAGACTGAACCAAGACTAAAACAGGACTGAAACTAGAATTAAACCAGGTCTAAACACGGACTAGATTGGACTAGATCAGGACTAGAACAGGACTAGATTAGGACTAGATCAGGACTAGATCAGGACTAGATTAGTACTAGATCAGGACTAGATTAGGACTAGATCAGGACTAGATTAGGACTAGATCAGGACTAGATCAGGACTAGATCAGGACTAGATTAGATTAGATAGATAGGACTAGATCAGGACTAGATCAGGACTAGATCAGGACTAGATCAGGACTAGATCAGGACTAGATCAGGACTAGATTAGGACTAGATCAGGACTAGATCAGGACTAGATCAGGACTAGATTAGGACTAGATCAGGACTAGGACTAGATCAGGACTAGATCAGGACCAGATCAGGACTAGATCAGGACTAGATCAGGACTAGATCAGGACTAGATTCAGGACTAGATCAGGACTAGATCAGGACTAGATTAGGACTAGGACTAGATTAGGACTAGATCAGGACTAGATCAGGACTAGATCAGGACTAGATCAGGACTAGATCAGGACTAGATCAGGACTAGATTAGGACTAGATCAGGACTAGATTAGGACTAGATCAGGACTAGATCAGGACTAGATCAGGACTAGATCAGGACTAGATCAGGACTAGATCAGGACTAGATTAGGACTAGATCAGGACTAGATCAGGACTAGATCAGGACTAGATCAGGACTAGATCAGGACTAGATCAGGACTAGATCAGGACTAGATCAGGACTAGATCAGGACCAGATCAGGACTAGATCAGGACTAGATCAGGACCAGATCAGGACCAGATCAGGACTAGATCAGGACTAGATCAGGACTAGATTAGGACTAGATCAGGACTAGATTCAGGACTAGATCAGGACCTAGATTCAGGACCTAGATCAGGACTAGATCAGGACTAGATCAGGACTAGATCAGGACTAGATCAGGACTAGATTAGGACTAGATTAGGACTAGATCAGGACTAGATCAGGACTAGATCAGGACTAACATTTAACATTTTTAGATCTAGTTTTAGAATTTAAAGAGTAAATGTAGGATGTTTTTTGTCTTTTTGTCTCGTTGCAAATCTGCAGTAAACCGAGTCTCTGTAACTCGAGTCTCTGTAACTCGAGTCAGTGAAACCCGACACTTTTACTCCCGCGCGTATTTGTACTTTCTTTACTTTTACTCCAATATTTTACTCCAGTATTTTCTCCTGTAACTCCAGATCTGCGGGTTTTTTAATGACTCGAGTTCTGGAGCGCGTGTGACTCGAGCTCCGGGGCGCGTGCGTGTGTGTGTGTGTGTGAGACGCGGAAAGGGGGCGGGGCGTGCGCTTGTGACTCCTCCCCCTCAGGACGCGCGTCGGTCTCGGGGGCGGCTCCGGCTCCGGCTCCAGTCCGGCTCGGAGCTGCGGAGAGGCGGACACAGGAGCAGCGCGAGTCCCCGGGGACGGGCAGGGCTCCAGCGCCGGGGCCGCGGCCGGAGCCTGCAGCTGCTGTGACCGGGTTCAGAGGCTGCGGAGGCGGGTAGAGGCGCACAGGACGCGGCGGTGGAGCTGGAGGTGATGATGGCGCTGAACCGAGTGTCGCGTCTCTGCCACGAAGTTACGCGGCTCTGGATCCAACTCAAGATCTGCACAGGTACAAAGAAAAGAGGAAAAGGATGAAGTTTACGAGCGGAAAAACACGAAATAATGAATGAAAAGTAAATGAAAGAGGAGAAGAGGAGAGAAGAAGGAGGGAAGAGGAGGGAGAGGAGCAGGTGAGGCGCAGGTGGAAACTCAGAGACTCACGCGTCAAACGAGTCAGAGGGACCGAACTTTAACCACGAACAACGGAAATGTTTTGTTCTTTTCTGGAACTAAACCAGGTCTCAACGAGGACTGAACCTGGACTAAACCAGGTCTAAAATAAGACTAAACCAGGTCTAAACCAGGACTGAAACAGGACTAAAGAAGGTGTATAATAGGTCTAAAACAGAACTAAGCCAGGTCTAAAGGAGGACTAAACCAGGACTCTAAAAGGCCTATAAAAGATCTTTAACAGGACTGAACCAGGTCTAATCCAGGACTCAACCAGGACTAAAGAAGGTCTAGAACAGAACTAAACCAGTTTTGTTGCTGCTGTTTGTGTTTGTCACAGTTTAATATTTGTCTTAAATCAGAGAAAATCATTTCATTTGTTTGATTTTTATTTTTATTTGTTTAATATAAATGAGAAACTTTGATTGATTTGATGTTTTGTGTGATGTTGTGTTGTTGTTGTGTGTGTTCGTGTGTGTTGTTGTGTGTTGTTGTGTGTGTTTGTGTGTTTGTGTGTGTTGTGTGTTTGTTGTGTTGTTGTGTGTGTTTGTGTGTTGTGTGTTGTTGTGTTGTTGTTGTGTGTGTTCGTGTGTTGTTGTTGTGTTGTTGTTGTGTGTGTTCGTGTGTTGTTGTTGTGTTGTTGTTGTGTGTGTTTGTGTGTTCGTGTGTTGTTTTGTTGTTGTGTGTGTTTGTGTTGTTGTGTTGTTGTGTTTCCAGATGTAGATTTGTCGGAGGCTCATCCTGTTTCTGTAACATGAAACCGACCATTTGATTATATGGAAATATGAACCAGGACTGAACCTGGACTAAACCAGGACTAAACCAGGACTAAACCAGGTCTAAACCAGGTCTAAACCAGGTCTAAACCAGGACTAAACCAGGTCTAAACCAGGTCTAAACAAGGACTAAAAAGGACTAAACCAGGACTAAACCAGGACTAAACCAGGACTAAACCAGGACTAAAAGGACTAAACCAGGCTAAACCTTCTAAACCAGGACTAAACCAGGACTAAACCAGGACTAAACCAGGTCTAAACCAGGTCTAAACCAGGACTAAACTAAACAGGACTAAAACCAGGTCTAAACCAGGTCTAAACCAGGACTAAACCAGGTCTAAACCAGGTCTAAACAAGATCTAAACCAGGACTAAACCAGGACTAAACCAGGACTAAACAGGTCTAAACCAGGACTAAACCAGGACTAAACCAGGACTAAACCTAAACCAGTCTAAACCAGGTCTAAATCAGGACTAAACCAGGACTAAACCAGGTCTAAACCAGGACTAAACCAAGTCTAAACCAGGACTAAACCAGGACTAAACCAAGTCTAAACCAGGTCTAAATCAGGACTAAACCAGGTCTAAAGAAGGTCTATTATAGGGATATAAAAGGCCTAAACCAGAACTGAACCACGGCTAAACCAGGGTGTGACCCAGGACTAAAGCGGGTCTATAATAGGCCTATAACAGGACTAAACCAGGTCTAAACCAGGTCTAAACCAGGTCTAAACCAGGTCTAAACCAGGTCTAAACCAGATCTAAACTGAAGTGTGTATAAGAGGTCTATAACGGGACTAAACCAGGACTAAATCTGATCTAAAATAGTTCTAAACCAGGTCTAAACCAGATCTAAACCAGGTCTAAACCAGGTCTAAACCAGGTCTTAACCAGGTCTAAACCAGGTCTAAAGAGAAGTGTTTATAAGAGGTCTATAACAGGACTAAACCAGGTCTAAATCTGGTCCAACAGTCCGTCTTGAGTCCTTTCTGTCCTCGGTGCACTGGTGCGTTCTAATCTGCTCTAAAGTGGTTCTAGGACCCGGGGCTGGTCTTGGTCAGGACTTGGTCAGGACTTTGTGGGGTCTTTTTGTGTTGTTGTTGTTGTTGTTTACAGCAGCATGTTAATCACACACTCAGACCCACAGCGCAAAACGACAAGAAACAAAACGAGAAAGAAAAAGAGTCCACACGTCCTCTGAGCTCAGCGGGAGACCGGCCTGGACCAGACCATGTCCAGACCTGGTTTAGTCCTGGTTTAGTCCTGGTTTAGTCCTGGTTTAGTCCTAGTTTAGGCCGGTTTAGTCCTGGTTTAGTCCTGGTTTAGTCCTGGTTTAGTCCTGGTTTAGTCCTGGTTTAGTCCTGTTGTAGTCCTGGTTTAGTCCTGGTTTAGTCCTGGTTTAGTCCTGGTTTAGTAGTCCTGGTTTAGTCCTGTTGTTTAGTCCTGGTTTAGTCCTAGTTGTAGTCCTAGTTGGTCCTGGTTTAGTCCTGTTGTAGTCTGGTTTGGTTTAGTCCTGTTGTAGTCCTGGTTTAGTCCTGTTGTAGTCCTAGTCCTGTTTAGGTTTAGTCCTGTTGTAGTCCTGGTTTAGTCCTGGTTTAGTAGTCCTAGTCCTGGTTTAGTCCTAGTTGGTTTAGTCCTGTTGTAGTTGTTTAGTCCTGTAGTTTGGTTTAGTCCTGTTGTAGTCTGGTTTAGTCCTGTTGTAGTCCTGGTTTGGTTTAGTCCTGTCCTGTTGTAGTCCTGGTTTAGTCCTGTTGTAGTCCTAGTTGTTTAGTCCTGGTTTAGTCCTGTTGTAGTCCTGGTTTAGTCCCTAGTTGTTTAGTCCTGGTTTAGTCCTGTTGTAGTCCTGGTTGTAGTCTTGGTTTAGTCCTGTTTAGTCCGTCCTGGTTTAGTCCTGGTTTAGTCCTGTTGTAGTCTTGGTTTAGTCCTGTTGTAGTCCTGGTTTAGTCCTGGTTTAGTCCTAGTCCTGTTTAGTCCTGTTTAGTTGGTAGTCCTGTTGTAGTCCTGGTTTAGTCCTGTTGTAGTCCTGGTTTAGTCCTGTTGTTTAGTCCTGTTGTAGTCCTGGTTTAGTCCTGGTTTAGTCCTGTTGTAGTCCTGGTTTAGTCCTGTTGTAGTCCTGTTGTAGTCCTGTTGTAGTCCTGGTTTAGTCCTGTTGTAGTCCTGGTTTAGTCCTGTTGTAGTCCTGGTTTAGTCCTGTTGTAGTCCTGTTGTAGTCCTGGTTTAGTCCTGTTGTTTAGTCCTGTTTAGTCTGTTGGTTTAGTCCTGTTGTTTAGTTCCTGGTTTAGTCCTGGTTTAGTCCTGTTTGTAGTCTTGGTTTAGTCCTGTTGTTTAGTCCTGTTTAGTCCTGTTGTAGTCCTGGTTTAGTCCTGTTGTAGTCCTTGTTTAGTCTTGGTTTAGTCCTGTTGTAGTCCTGGTTTAGTCCTGTTGTAGTCCTGGTTTAGTCCTGTTGGTTTAGTCCTAGTTGGTAGTCCTGTTGTAGTCCTGTTTAGTCCTGGTTTAGTCCTGTTGTAGTCCTGGTTTAGTCCTGTTGTAGTCCTGGTTTAGTCCTGTTGTAGTCCTGGTTTAGTCCTGTGTTTAGTCCTGTTTTTTTAGTCCTGTCCTGTTTAGTCCTGGTTTAGTCCTGTTGTAGTCCTGTTTAGTCCTTGGTTTAGTCCTGTTTGTAGTCCTGGTTTAGTCCTGGTTTAGTCCTGTTGTAGTCCTGTTTAGTCCTGTTTGTCCTGTTTAGTCCTGTTGTAGTCCTGTTTAGTCCTGTTGTAGTCCTGTTGTAGTCTGGTTTAGTCCTGTTGTAGTCCTTAGTCCTGTTTAGTCCTGTTGTAGTCCTGGTTTTAGTCCTGTTGTAGTCCTGGTTTAGTCCTGGTTTAGTCCTGTTGTAGTCCTAGTCCTGTTTAGTCCTGTTTAGTCCTTGGTTTAGTCCTGTTGTAGTCCTGTTGTAGTCCTGTTTTGTTTAGTCCTGTTTGTTGTAGTCTTGGTTTGTTTAGTCCTGTTGTAGTCCTGGTTTAGTCCTGTTGTAGTCCTGGTTTAGTCCTGGTTTAGTCCTGTTGTAGTCCTGTTTAGTCCTGTTTAGTCCTGTTTAGTTGTAGTTAGTCCTGTTGTAGTCCTGGTTTAGTCCTAGTTTTAGTCCTGTTGTAGTCCTGGTTTAGTCTGGTTTAGTCTGTTGTTTAGTCCTGGTTTAGTCCTGTTGTAGTAGTCCTGGTTTAGTCCTGTTGTAGTTAGTCCTGTTGTAGTCTTGGTTTAGTCCTGTTGTAGTCCTGGTTTAGTCCTGTTGTAGTCCTGTTTAGTCCTGGTTTAGTCCTGTGTGTTGGTTTAGTCCGTTGTAGTCCTGGTTTAGTCCTGTTGTAGTCTTGGTTTAGTCCTGTTGTAGTCTTGGTTTAGTCCTGTTGTAGTCCTGGTTTAGTCCTGTTGTAGTCCTGTTGTAGTCCTGTTTAGTCCTGTTTAGTCCTGTTGTAGTCCTGGTTTAGTCCTGTTGTAGTCCTGGTTTAGTCCTGTTGTAGTCCTGGTTTAGTCCTGTTGTAGTCCTGGTTTAGTCCTGTTGTAGTCCTGGTTTAGTCCTGTTGTAGTCTTGGTTTAGTCCTGTTGTAGTCCTGGTTTAGTCCTGTTTAGTCTTGGTTTAGTCCTGTTGTAGTCCTGGTTTAGTCCTGTTGTAGTCCTGGTTTAGTCCTGTTGTAGTCCTGGTTTAGTCCTGTTGTAGTCCTGGTTTAGTCCTGTTGTAGTCCTGGTTTAGTCCTGTTGTAGTCCTGGTTTAGTCCTGTTGTAGTCCTGTTGTAGTCCTGTTTAGTCCTGTTGTAGTCCTGTTGTAGTCCTGGTTTAGTACTGGTTTGTTCTGGTCTTTTGGAGAGAGAAAGAGGAGACATTGCAGTAGTGTCCATGTTTATAATGCTGTAATAGTGAAGGTGTGTGGAGTTTAAAAACACAGTGGAGCACTTCTTCCTGTATCACCACATGATGACATCACAAGGTGATGAAGAGCTCAGTCTAAATGTTCGGGTTTGTGAGTTCAACATGTGTGAATGAACTCCAGTGTGTTTGCAGCAGTTCACGGCGCTTTACTGCACTGAGCGTTTCCATGG